CTTCCGTCGCAAACAGGTCTATCTCTGCCTGACCAAAACTGTCCCAGATCATCAGCACTATGTCTCTGTGGAGGGACCACTCTCCCGGAGGGGACTCTTGGCGGGAGAGAAAATCTGCGACCTGATTGTGTCGCCCTGGCAAGTACGCTGCCCGCAGGGTGGACAGGCGAGGAGAGGCCCATTCCAGGAGCTCTCTGGACACACTCAGAAGTTGTGCTGACCTGGTGCCCCCCTGATGGTTGATGTGGTAGACAACAGAGGTGTTGTCCGACCGAACAAGTACATGCCTCCCTTCCAGGTGAGGCAGGAAGTGCCTGAGTGCCAAGTGCACTGCACGCAGCTCCAGCACATTTATATGCTTGGAATGGTCTCTTTGACCCCAGCGGCCCTGAACCGCTCTGCGTTGCCATACAGCCCCCCATCCCATGGAGCTGGCATCCGTTGTGACCACTTCCCTGCGACACACTACCACTCCCGTGGGGACACCCCTGGACAAATAATCTTCGTCCCTCCATGGAGTCAAGGCATGAAGACATGACCACGTCACTGCGAGCTTGCGATGCCTGTGCAGCCTGGCATCCAGGCGAAAGCTGTTGAGCCACCTCTGCAAGGGGCGAAGTGACAGCAGGCCTAAGGGCACCACCCGAGTGACTGATGTCAGCTTGCCGAGTAGTTGCAGGAAGGCAACATAGGGGAGCTGCTTGCCCAGCCTGAACCGATTGACCAGCTGGAGTATGCCGGCCACCCTTTGAGCGGATGGGCGAGCTCTCATTGAAGATGAATCCAGAACCACCCCAAGAAAGGTGGTCGTCTGGGAAGGGATCAGGCAGCTCTTCTCCAGGTTGACATTGAGGCCTAACTGGGACATATGAGCGAGCAGGCGGTTTGTGTCGTGAAAGGCACAGGCCTGAGACGGGGCGCAGAGAAGCCAATCGTCTAAGTACGGCAGAATCTTCACTCCGCAGGCCTGCAGAGGAGAGAGGGCTGCCTTCACGCACCGAGTGAACACCCTTGGGGAGAGAGAGAGCCCGAATGGAAGTACCCGGAACTGCCAGTGGTGACCCCGATAGGCAAACCTGAGAAAGCGGCGATGTTCTGCCGCAATAGGCACATGAAAATATGCATCCTTCAGGTCTACAGACGTGAACCATTCTTCCCTTGTGACAGCTTGAAGGACTTCTGCTGTTGTGAGCATGTGGAAGGGCAGCTCCTTTAGGTACTGGTTGAGTCCCCTCAGGTCTAAAATGGGACGAAACCCGCCCGTCTTCTTTTGCACAAGGAAGTAAGTCGAGTAATAGCCCCTGGGTTGTTGCAGAGGGTCCACTGCCTCTATTGCGCCCTTGGCCAGGAGGGCGGAAAGTTCCTGGTCTAGTGCTTGAGCTTTCACCGGGTCGGCGATTACAGTCATCTTGACCCGGCCTGAGATACGAGGCCGCCGTCGGAACTGTAGCCGGTAACCATGGGTCAGAGTGGCAACCACCCATGGGTCCACGGCGTGAGCAACCCAATAGCTGAGCTGCTGGTGGGAGAAATATCCGACGGTCGGCCTGATGGCATCACCGTCTCCCTCCACGACCCCTAGGGGCCGTGGGGGGGCGGCAGCCAGAGTCCCTGGTCCGAGCCTGCCCAGCTGGTCGGTGGACCAACCCACGAGAGCTCCTGCTGGGCCTTTGCTGAACCGCATGAGGGTAAGGACCACCCGGCCAGTTATGACCCCCAGGCGGCGGCTGCATGCTGGAGCCAGCCGACAGGCGCCTTGGATGCCGAGGAGGTGGAGGGGGCATTGGCCTGCTAAGGCTCGAAAATTGCTGCCTTCTCTGTCGTGCCTGGACAGTCCGTTCCAGTGCTTCCAAGGCAGCCGAACCGAACAACTCCCCCGGCACCACTGGGACATTACGGAGGGCTCTACGGCATGGCTCAGTCAACGCTGACTGAGCTAACCAGACCTGTCGGCGAGCTTGGACCAAGGAGGACATCACACGCCCAAGCTCCCTCGTCATTAGTGCAAAGGCCTGAAGCGCTGCATCGTTAAAGCCCATCGCTGCTGTCGCACCACTAGTCCCCTGAAGGGACGCGGAGAGGGCAAGCATTAGGTGTGCCAAGGAATTACCTAGGCGGCCAGCACGCGCTCCGGCGGCATAGGCTCTGCAGAGGAATTCATCCGTGACACGACACTGAGCTCGTGGGCACCGAACATGACTGCGCAGAGCTTCATCTGGTGACACGATGAGAGAGGCAACAGCAGGTTCTATCGCTGGCATGCGATCCAAGCCTGCTGCAGCCGGCTCATGCATGGCCGCCAACACTCTGCCATCTGCAGAGAGGCGCGCAAAGGCCTTGGGGTCCCGCCAGCAACCATGCAACTCCCTCAGGAACTCCTCTGATGGAGGGACAGAAAAGGAAGGAGGGGTCAGTCCGCGCCTGAAGAAGGCACTTCCAGGGGTGGACGCCTCTGGTTGCGGGACGTCCAGCTGCAGTTGTCTCAGGGCCATACGCATAATGTCCTGCATCGAGCCGTCACCCGACCCACTAACTGCACTCCGAGAAGAAGAGAGTGAAGCTGTCTCTGAGACTCGAGATGAATGCCCGTCCTCCTCACCTAAAAAGTGAGAGGCAGAGGCAGCCAAGGATAGCACATCCTCCTCCACAGCCAGTTCAGGCATGGGTGGGGAGGAGAGTCCAGTTGCTGCCACTGGTTCAGTTCCCAGTTGGTGTACCTGAAAAAGGGACTTCATCTCCGCTAATTCAGCGGAGAGCTGCTCCACCCTTGTGGAGAGGCCCCTATCAGACCTGGCTCGCTTCTTCCCAGGAGGGGCCACAGAGACTGCGGCCTCAGTCCGGCGCTTCGAGCGCCTAGGTGGAGCCTCCTGCCCAGAAGGCGGGAGGTCATCGCCGAGTTTGGGGCGAAACTGGGCCAGCCGGGCCGCCCTCACAGCATGCGACATGAAGCTGCAATTCATGCAGGGGTTCTCTGACAGGGCATCCACCAGATGGTCATGTCCAAGGCAGGCAGGACACAGGTCGTGACCGTCATCTATCTGGAGCATGGCTCCACAGACTGTACAGCAGTGAGAGCCGTCCATGCTCCTTACCCAGCTATGCCCAAGATATTCAGAGGGACTAGCACCACTAGCTCAGCTGTTAAAAGAGGACAATTGGGATAGGGGGCGCGAACGCTCGCCTTCACCAATCAAACAAGGTCAAAACTCAGAGAGGCTAGCACCACTAGCTCAACTGGTAAAAGAAGACAATTGGGAGAGGGGGCGCGAACGCTCGCCTTCACCAATGAAAACAAGGTTAGAACACAGAGAGGCTAGCACCACTAGCTCAACTGGTAAAAGAGGACAATTGGGAG